TTGTAGTATGGGCATTCTTGGTAGTAGTCTTGGAAGCAATGCTTACAAGTAAGTTGCTATCCTTCTTTAATTCTTGGTGATACCGGTGGTTGTTTTTCTAGTTCTTCTTGTTTCCAGTAGTTTTTCATTTCTTCAGTAGTGTTAGGTTTATTTAAACATTTCTTAGAGATGTGCCCTTTTTTTCAAAGATTTTACAAGTTACAATTGGGCAATATGAATTAGGATATCCTGTTTTGAAGCAGATTCCGCAGGTTGTTTTTTGGTGAAGGTATAGTAAGAAGTCTTTGTCAAATTTTCTTTCATTTTTCTTTAAGCAATTATGTTAATCAAGTATAGATACTTTTTTGCAGAATAGATAGTCTTCTCTTGGAGTATTGTCCCAGATTCTAAATTTTTCTTCAAGAGTCATTTCTGGGCTGATTGTTTTTTTTTGTTCTTTGATTTTTCATAAATAATTTAAGTACATTAGGATTGCTTGGATTGAGTAAGCAATCATGACCAGGTAACCTAGGATAATTGCAATTAGTGCAATTGTCAGGTTCAGTTCTTCTCCAAGAGTTATTGATGGATTGGGTTCTTGACATTGTTTCTTTTTTAGAGTTTTTTTTGTTTTACCAGTAGGTGACTTTTTCTGTCAGAGTTGGAGTGTCCTTAAATAGTTGTTGGTTTCTATAGTTTTCTAATTTGTTCTTTAGGCATTGAATTCTTAAATTCTATTTGTTTATATTTCATCATTAATGTCTTCTGATTCTTCTGATTCAGTTTCTGTGGTACTTAAATTAGCCATATTTTGTAACATTTGATAAAGGCTTCAAATTGATCATGAGGGTTTTGTTTTTTCCAAATAAAGACTAGCAGTTCTGAGAATAAGTATCTGCATTTACTTGGCGGTATTTTTGCTTTGATCACTTGCCAATATGCTTCAATTGTGTTTGTGTGATACACTTTTGGTTGTGTTGAGGTTTTATTTTCTTCAATCATTGTGAATCCTTTTGAATAATTGACTGCATAGTAGGGTATCCCTAGCTATGAGTAAATATTTTGGTAACCTAACCACATATCTGAGTAAATAATTGATTAAGGATGTATATGTTTTTCTATTTGTTTCAGCTGACCTATCTTCTATGATTATTGCAAACATCTTAGATTGGGATATATGTTTTACGCCTTCAAATACCCATATATGGTTTAATTTCATTTTAAATTTATTTGTTTCTTCATTGTATACCCATGTTTTTTGTGTTCTGAATCATGATTTATCTATTTCTACAATGATATCTTTTCCACCTATTTGTTGATGTTTTTCTTCAAGATTAAAGCTTACTAATTTCTTAAATATTTTTAGCCATCGTGTAATTGTTGTTGGCAACATTTCTGAGAATATACGTATTGATTGGTGTTTACATCTGATTATCTATAAATAGGCAATCGTTAATAACTTGTTACATGGGATCTTTGATTCTGAGAATATTGTATCTTTAAAAATAGATATGCTTTTTCTATACATGCATTTCGTACAGCTAAATAAGGTATGATTAAGAGTCATATTTTGGTCACATTATGGGCATTTCATTTGTTGTAGTAGCACTTTCTTATCTTGTGAATATTTGATAGTTCACGTTTCCGATTCTAAGATTCTTTGTAGCGCGTAATATGATAGTATATGGGTCATCTTTGTTTACATGATTAATAATTGTCTAACTCAGTGATGAAATTGTTGAATCCAAATAGGCCTTGTGTATCTCAATATATTTCTGGTGGATATCTGCTTGAGTAATCTTGTATTACCCACATTGTTATTTTGTAAAGATTAATCCAACAATATAGTTCCAGCGTGCGGTATAATCTCATTTGATTGGTTACTTAAGTTGAGTTGAGCATTTTCTCTTATCAATTTTCTGATGCGTGTAAGGTTGTATTTATAAGTTTATCAGTATAACCTTGTATTACTCGATTTCTTATAAAAATAGTTGATATCCGGAATTAAGTTCAGTACTTTTTCCAGTTCAAACCTTAACTGATAGTACTTTCAATTATATCTTTAAACAATAACTTTTTTACACAAAT